GCTCCGCCGAACCACCACTTAAGGCCCTCGCCTCTGCCGGACCACTGTCTGACGCCGTTACTCTGCCGAACCACCACTTAAGGACCTCGCCTTCGCCGAACCACCGCCTGACGCTGTTGTTCCGCCGAACCACCACTTAAGGCCCTCACCTCCACCGGACCATCTCCTGACGTCGTTGCTCCGCCGAACCACCACTTGAGGCCTGAACTTCACCGGACCACCGCTTGAGGCCCTGTGCTTCACCAGGCTACCACTTAAGGCTCGGACTTCCGCCGGACTGTCACTTGAGGCCCCGAGCACCACCAGGCCACCTCCTGACTCTCGGAGTTCTACCGAAGTACCACCCTTCTACTACGATCTTTCAGACTCCTATTTCCTGCCAACTACGGTCCTCCCGGCCTCCGTTTCCTACTATGGTCACTCCGACCTCCATCATCAGACAACCGTCTTTCTGAACCCGGTCTCCTGCCGAATACGGTCCTTCTGACTTCAGTCACCTAATATGGTCTTTCCGACCTCCATCAACAGACAACGGTCTTTCTGATCCCGGCTCCTGCTAACTATAGTCCTTCTGATTTCTATTTCTTGCCGACAAAGGCCCTTCCAACCAAATAAACATGTCTATGTTGATTATTGTAACTCCCACCACGTAATGCACTCTAGATGATGTATATTTGTATCATCAAGCCACGGCCTTCTCCCAAGGAAGGGCCTCATTTGTAATCGACAACTAATTCTGGTGGATTTATTCAAACTGGGCCAGGCCTCGTGGTTTTTCCTCCTTTTCAAGGGTTTCAACGTAAAAACTATGGTGTCTCTTATGAATGTTACACCCTCTCACTTATCTGATTGTGTGCTGGATCTTCGTATAATTCTAAGACGTTAAACTACATATTTTCTCTACCACCGCGAATACACCAGGACGCAACAATGACCATTATCCAAACTAAAGCCGTAATAATGTGTGGTGATAAACATTAGAAATTGGAATGTCGCCTTGAATTTTTCTAGTGAAATCTCATTATCTGCTCGACAAGTTTTGTTAGTAATAAAGGTTTTTATAGTCATCTTCCTATTAGTTAAGCATTCATTTCTATGATTTTTTTATTGGTTTAGGTTTTGTTTGGGATAGTTTTTTCCTTATTTTTTAAAGTAGTTTTTAGTAAAAAAAAAAATTTGAACTTAAATTTTTTATACTAAAAAAATGCTTTAAAAAACAATAAAAAAACTTTTCCAAACGAAATCTTAATTTAATTAATTAATATTTTGGTTCAATCGGATAAGGTATCCGCATAAACTGTTTTATTAGTCAAGTCAGATTTATTCTTGGATGACATCAAATCACACTCACAAAATTCATGAGATTTTAGTGAATAAGATGGAATGAGATAGAATATAGATAGGAAACTAAGAAATCTAGAGAGAGAAAATCTAGAATTTGATTTGAATTAAGTGAATATAAAAAGTTCCATTTTTACTTTCTCTTTCTAAAAATAGACATCTCATGACCTATTATTTGGAAGACTTTGGGCATTAAGAAAAGGCTATATCAAAATAATAAGTTTTTGAAAAAATATATTGTAGCTTTGAATGTGTCTAATTAAATTCATGAGATCCTTTCGCGTTACAATTAGTGCATGACTATGAAGTGATCTTACGACCGATTACACTCTTCCATAGGAGAGATTATTCTGTGCGGATGCCGAACATAGTTCATCATCCGGAGACCAACCAGAATGCACCACATCAGCGGTACCGAGCAGTACTGAGCATGGGGTGACATGGCGCATTCTGGTTGGTCTCCAAACGGCTTTCGGCATCCGCATAGAATAATTGCACCTCCTTCCCCTCTCCTATAGAGACCTTAGGCTTCGTTTAGTACAAATTTTTTATATTATTTTAGAAAACATTGAGAAAGTTGGCTCGAACGAAGCCTCCATAGCAATGTGAAAAAACAAAGAGACTAAGAAAGTACGAAATGTTAGTAGTAAACTAAACTTGCCTGACTTAACAGCGAATACTGTTTGTGTTGCTCAATTGCATATTTGATTAAAAAAAATCTTTTTGACAAGATAAATAGTATTCTTAAACATGCAAGTATTCTATAAGATTAAGTTATGTCTGATGAAAAGATAAGCTAATGATTTATCAAAAGGTGAAAAAAATTTTCCTTAATTTTTTTTTTTATCCTGGCTTAGGATTAGCATAGACAATTTTAATTTTTTTTTTCAATTATAATCCAGTATTGTATAATGTTAAATATAAGATAGTAAATAACTTACAATTTATAACGTCTATTCTTCAAATCTTGAAAAAGTTGAATGATTACTTTATTATCAATAGAATCTAAAATTTCTTTATCAATATAAACAAATAATAAATCATTTATCTATTGATCTCCAATCATATTTCGTAGCCAATTTTTTATAATATTTATGATAGAGAATGCTCTTTCGAGGCTTCTTATAGCAACCGGTAATACCAATGCCAGTTCTAGTAGTCTAAAAACAATATGATATATAATATATTTTTTACTTTGGATCATTTTCTCAGCAAAGCTTCCTATACCTTTTAATGAAGAGAACTGGTCATCAGATCGCATATTCATTTTATAAGTATCTAATTGATTTTCAAGAACCACCTTATCAAAAAGACTAAAATTAATTGGATAAAACTCTGTAATTCTAATAAACTTGGCTTTGTTAAATGCACAAAATTTGTTATTATAATTCAAACATGCAATACACAAGAGCAGCTCAGTATTTATTTCTATAAAACAATTGTTCAACTTTTGAAGCTGTATATCAATCACTTTGTAAAAAAATTTCAACCTAAAAATGTTATAAATTTGTTATATCTTGAGTTCCAGGGCGAGTCCGGCCACGAGTACTTGTCAAACCAAGTAGGATTAAAACGTTTGTCTTTCATCCCACATTTAGTTTTTGGAAAATCATGACTGCGGGGTTGAAATGACTCTTTGTAAATATTTTCTACGAACATCATCTCGAATGTTAGGATTAAAGTCAGTAATATGATTTCGTTGACTTGGATCAGATGGAAGATTTTCCATACTTAATTCCATATTTTTTGGTAAATCAACATCCACTCAAATGCGCTTTTCATTTTGATCTTGATCAACCTTATTGCTATTCTCATCCATAATATGATTTCGTTGTTGGTCAATCAATACTGTGTTGGCCTATGATTTTGCATTGATCTAATATTGACTTCAAGTGATGCTGGTTGACAGATGTTTGATTTTGTGAGTTGATATGCATTAATAAAGGT